GGTTTACACATTACTTTTAATCCTTCACCATTTAGAAAATGAAAGTAAAAAGTAACAATATAACAAAAGAAGAATTTTACATATTTTTCCAAACAGTACATTCAACAATTTGGTACATGAATATTTACCAAAGGAGTCTCAATTGGGAAGTAGAATCGTTCGATAAATAATTAAACGAATCCTCGTGTATACTTCAGTTCTAAATTATTCTTATCGAGACAACGGAAAGGTTAAATACCCAGTGCGACAACGACTCGACGCAAATTTCCAAGCGGTAGTACGATTACCCATGGTTCGATATTCAAGTTATTGAAAGAGGATGCAAAGTTTGGGTAGGGAATCTGCTGCACTGCGTAGAATATTTCTCGAGCGCGTGTTTGCGTGTCTGCGTCGGGTAAGAGGGTCTCAACAGGGTTGAATTTGAAGTACAAGTGAGCGAGGGGGTTGCACAGATGCAGGTGCAACGGTATGGATCGTTAGCAGAATCGCATTCGAACTCGAAAGTAGTACTCTCTCTCTACGGGAAGAAACTCTTTGGATTGGGGGGGTCTCTTCAGAGGTAACGATCTTTCTCGTTTTTTGCTGTCCCGTTTTCCCTCCAGCCCCGCGATCCCTAACCCCTGCTCCCAGCCCTTGGACCGATATCCTGCGTGTAATCCGTAATAACGTTTGAGAGGCGCACTTTGAGGGGCATTAGAAAGCCACGGGATCGGTAAGTGTACCTCGCAAATCGGCCTCGTGGTTCGTTGAGTATTTGCCAGAGGAACTTCCGAGGAGTCAGAATCTTACGTATTCGTTTAAAGGCTTTCCGATCCAGCGACGCAATCAAGGTGAAGCAGCGATAGCAAACCGAACTAATTCCATCGAGAACAGCTCGAAAATTATTATCTTTAATTGGAATTTTTTTGTGCATTTTACAAGCCATCGCGTTTGAAAGATCGACATTTCTCTTTTATCTCGAGTAAATAAAGTATCGAGTAGGGATTTATGTGTGTACAGCGACTAACTTTAATATTTGGATAGTTTATGATTTTACTATGTTGCTTTATAACATTGTCTATGATGAGGGATAATGTTATTGAGGTATATGATCTATTAAAACATTGAGTTCGGTCGTCAAGAACTTAAAGTTCATGGGGTTATATTTCAACAGTTGATGTTGATGTATTTACTTTTATTGATGAAATAATAAACAAGAATATGTATTTAATTAACGAATAGTTTGTATAAAAATGCAATGATTATTAGGAATTTATATTACGTTCAAGTTTTAACAGGATAATGAGCCCATATTGTACAAGAATATTTACTTTATAATTATCGGAAGTTTTAAAATAATATCAAAGAAAATGCAGAAAGAACAACTAAAAGAGAAATGAAATAATACTATTTAGATGTCTTAAGGCATAAAAAAGTTCTTCGTCGTAAAGTATACCTGACGAAATATTAAACTTGAGTTTATTTTTCCAAACGTCAGAATATGAATTAAAAATTTTATTGAGTGTTGGAATATTAAGTAACGTCAAACTTTACCATGGTTTTGTTTTAGGTTTAATTATAATTAAATAATCAAACTGTATACTTTTGTTAAATGATTCAATGTATTAATACAACATGTATCTTAGTTATTTTATCCTTTGTCATAGAATTTACAAAGCATCGAAGTAAAAATTGTAAACTGTCTGAATATTCACGTTACTCAGTGCATATATTTTATGTGTATATAAAGTACAGAATCAAAAAGTTACACAAATATAGCTTATTTATTGATGACAATTAACCGTTATATAAGTTCTTGTTGATAATAAAATAAGGACATTTTAAAGAGCAAGACATTGTGTCATAACTTTGTCTAATTTTTAAAACTAGCAGTTTTGTATTTTTCTTGTAAAACGTAAGACCGAATTTGCGTAACTATTATATTTGACACAATGGCGGTGTTAAAGCACAACTCGCTCTATATACTCTGGAAACAAGTTACACATATGGTAATTCGTACAAAGAGAATCGCAGCCATTTGCTAATATTATTCATGTAAATAATGATTGCATTACACTGCTGCGAGTGATATGATTATTATTGCTGCGTGTGAAGACCTAGAATTATGTTGAAAGGAATGTGCCCACCACATCCCAATCACTCGCATTTTATATGGATTAGGGCACGTGAATGAGCTTAATGGTGGTGAAATGTTACTCGCGATATAATAGAATAAGAAATGTTATACCAAAAATGTAATTTCACTTGTCTAGAAATCAATCGTATTGTATGAAATCATACCCGAAAACACGCAACCGTGTCCGAATTACAGTAACGCGGCTTTATTTTAAATTGTTATAATAATTCAAGTTAAAAAAAAGTTTAAATTAATCTATTCTCGTTTGATCTTGATACTGGTCAGTTATTAAATCACGTATCACGCGCAGGATTGACAACAATAAACACAAAATACAGTAAAATGATACATGAACCTGTTACCTTTCGCTGGAATAAATTAGATGCCTCACCTTTCTTTGTGAAATTTCGATCAAATCGAATCTCGATTGTCATGGCGTCGGAGGCATGGCATACGTATTCCAATTTCAAACAGGGTCTTGTTACAAAGCGACAAGTTTAAAGTGCATTTGTTGTCAAGATCGTAATTTATATTAGAGAGTATACAGTGGTGGGAATAATTGTAGGTTCAAAGGTAAATGCTTAATACTTTAATTAAAGAAGAAATCAAAATCCCTGAAAATAATTGTTATTGTTTTTGACATTGACAAACTACGTATGTTTAAAATATTTCACAAACTACTTCGTGAAAGTAATTTCTTATCAAATCATTAGCTCGTTCAGATTAAATGGAATATTGTCTGTATTTTTAAACTTTCAAGCGTACTTTAAACTTAATTAAGCGTACAGTTGATCCTGCTTGGAGCATTCGAGTTGCACACCACTGATATTCAATGTACGTACACCGCAGCCATAGTTCATGGAAATAATGGTATACACCTCGAATTTCAGAATGGGAGTATCGCGAAATCCTCCTGCGGATTCGATCAGCTCTCGCAAGGGGAACGGTCTGTTACTTTTCAGGATGGGCTGCGACGAGATGTACCGGGCGGCAGACTTGAAAAATTGCATTTTGTATTCAATAACTAGGCTGTCAGGTCGACCGGTGAGCTCCTATAACTCAACACGCATCCGCGGCGTCCACGTAGACGCCGTTTCCCGATCGATAGATCTCTCCGTCGCTGATCAGACCTCCGCAGGAAATACAACCAGTCACACGCGTCACGGATGCATCCGTGACGTCGTGATTTGAGAAGGAGAGAAGCGTCGCGTTCGTTTTGTCAGGAGGGCTGCTCTTTTGGGAGTTGACAGCGCGCGACAGGGTTCTCGGATCGACTTTGTCTCTGCTTGTGAACGTATGCTTGGATTTTTTTTTGACGACGCACCGACTAATGCAATTTCCCTTTTCGACTGTCAAGGGAAACCCTACATGTGCCTAGAACCCCCAGAATTGGATTGGTATCCAATTTTGCATACGAGGCTATTTTTGTAGTACGCGACTGTGACGATCGTGTCTGTCCAAATTCATAGGTTGTCTAAAAAATAGTGGAAAAGTTATTTTAGTTATGAATAATACTATCCGAGCAATATTCTGTCATTATTCGCAATTTGAGTGTGAGTGTTAATTGTTTAAAGATATTAAATAAAAAAATTTGTGTCGTTAATCGTGATTGTTTTAAATGAAATGTTCGAACCAGACCTGGGCAAATTTTAATTGAATTGAAAATAAATAACTATTTAATATAATTTATTTCGAACCATTACTTGCAATACTGTTATTTGAAAGTGGAAGTGTAATCATGACAATTCATTTGAAATAATAGCTATTTCAAATAACGATTTATTTGGTTATTTGTTGTTCGAATTTAACGAAAGAAATAATTTTCAAAATTATTTGCTATAAGAAGTATATATTTATTTCAGAATTTCTTTATAGCAATAAACTTGCAACAAAACTATTTTTTCAAAACGTTCATTCTAAAGAAATTGTTATCTTTGTACATCTAGCATTGTTGCAAAATTAATTATACTTAAGGAAAATATCTCTTATCAGTTAACCATTTTACGTGGACAGGTCAGTCCTTTGATCTTGCAAAAATGTCAATACATTTAGTTCTCCTTGAGTTTGGATAATAAATGTGAAATTGTTTGCTATTATATATTATGAATTTGTGATTCCTCCTGATACAGTGTTAACAAACAATTTTGTAATTACTTCAAATACTTATGAAATAAAATATAATGTTATATCCAATGAGATCACGTTATGAAAATAGTTATGAAATAAAGTAACGTGTTGTTCGTAGTAATATTTCAAAAGTGTCCCGTTCGAACTATAGAAAATCGTTATAATGTCTACATTTAGGGAATAAGAAATATCATTTATTTATAAATTTTCGATTCAGGTTAATAGGTAACGTTAAAAATTAAATTTATGACGAACGAGGTGGCACGTCAATTTAAAATAAATTACCTACCCCTTATTCATTTTATGATCGATATTGGTTAATTTATACTTAACTACCAGTAATTTGTTTCATAATTACGTGCACTACGTCACGCACTTGCTTTTCGTCAGTTAATAAATGTTATTTTAATATTTTCAATGAAACTGTCACATACTTGTTTGTTTAATTATCGATACATTTTGAATATTCTAGCATTGCAGTCACTGTAGCGAATAAATATTCACAATTTAGTTTGAAATGAAATAATACGGCATCGTCATTATAAGATTATGAATATCAAATTAAGTTTGCGAATGTCAGTCTGAGTATCTGTTTATTTCCAATAATGTAATTCATGCCGGTATATGTTAAAGTTCAATTCTATCCCATTATTCGGAACAGAAGACTATTGTATCTATAATTAATTTTATCAAGTAAATATTTAAAAAGTAAAAGATAACTCTCATTAATAATGATTGATTGTTTCATTTGTTTCAGTTACCACTGTACCCGATCCCGAGTTTGTCGATAAAATAGGAAATATTACAGTATCAACAGGACGTGACGTAAAATTAGCCTGCAGCGTCAAGGACTTGGGCCCATACAAGGTAAGTGAAAGCAATTTTTATACCCTAATTTAAAAAGCTGTCGCTGACTCACATATAGGTCAAGCTAAATGCATCGCATCCGTCTAACGAGTCTAAAAGCTTTTCTAAATTTGGAAAAGTCAACCAATACCGTAGAGACGATGACTGCAAGAATAAAAAGCTTTACATGGACATTTATTTCGTGTAAATGTAAACTTTCAAATCCATCGGTACATTTGTACTTGACATATAGCGTCAACAAGTCGAAATCTGTTCCGTTTTTATTTTTGAACGTTATTTAGAGTTACGTGATCAAGAAATGTTAGATATTTCTATACAAAAAGGTACCAAAAATGGATTCACAGATCATGGATTCCTCTTCACGACGCAACTTTTCTATGAAAAACCTTCAAATAGTTGATTTAGAAATTATTTAAGGTTGTACTGTTAAACAGTTCATTTCTGAGTAAATTGGGAACTCAGAAGTATTATATTTAATTACTTTCATTTTACATTCACTTAAATTAATTTTTGTAGAACCGATATTAAAATGTTCATTTTTATGAAAGTCTAATCAGAAAGAGGACAGATGAGTCTATATTCTCTTTTTTCATTTGTTTAAAATACTTGCAAACAAAAATGATTAACATTATCTTTGTTAACTGAAACAATTTTCACTTGCTACCTCTATGTCATCACTGATACGTTCCAAAATCTCATTCTTATCCGTTTACTAGTTTAATAGTAATAATTTATTGACAAAAGATATCATTTGATTTTACATAGCTATAAAATCGACAGTTTCCACAATTTCGAAGAAATACTCAAGTTTCGTCAAAGTCTGAGACGCAACTTCAAAAAAAAGTTCGAGTTCTCATTTTATGACTCATTAGTGAGTTAAGAGAAATTACTATAAGAATATACCCTTTTGTACATCAACATCATAAATTCAATACTTTTTATTTTTACTTATTTTTACTCCAATTGTATTCGTACCTTTAAATCAGTTTTCAAATAATTGTTTTGCTTAAGCGTGTTTCGTGATTTTCCAAGACAAATATTTGTAGGTCAAATATATATCTCTTGATTGGAATAATTAATTTGAAGCAGAAGGGGTTAAGAGAATTCAAAAGAACGATTATTTTTCTTTTACCACAGAACTAGACAGACCTCTAAAGTTGGCGTCTGACGAGAAGAGAAATCCTCGTTCCAGCAACCGCACAAATGACAATCTCAAAGATATCAGCGTCCTCTTTTGCAGCGTGAACTCAGCCGTGTGCCCTTAACATCCGCGCGTCTTTCGTCCATATTTGTTCTGAAAGATCTGCGAATTTCGAGTCGAGAAACGCGTCAGTTCGTCGCGTCGCAATTTATGCTAAGTAAGTGGCAGATGCGCGACGTACGCTGGGAAGTTCTGATTCGGCACCAAAGAGACCAGTCTTACACAAAAGCTTCATTATCGGTCATTTACACACGCAAACTCTTCATCCGTGAAACTACAGAAATATGACGGAATCCAATCATCGAACTCGGACGAAAAGCATGATTTAAAAGTGAATTGCTCAACGCTTCAACCCCTAGATGTACGTTCTCTTTGGAGATCCATGTAAAAGGGAAAATATATACGTTTCGAAATTAATAAAATTATAATGTTGGTTCCTTGCATAAAATGCACAAGATAAAGGATAACTATTTATTTGGACCAGGAGAATGTGGCTATAGATATTAATTGTTATATCTGATCTTGACCTCATATGCTCTTATGTCTGCGTTATTATGAATGAGTATTTCCAATTTCATCCAAGTCGAAAATCTTATTTTATTCCTGTTATTCCTAATAACTCGTTCATAGTATATGATAAAAATTGTTTTAAATAGTGATATTACGGTCTACACACCTACTGACATCATTTTGAGATACATATTAATTCATCCACGAATTCGTTTAACTTTCTCTGATTGTTAGATAACTTAAAATACGAACATAAAACTTGTTTACCGGAGATCATTTAGTGGTTAGAATATTTCATTACCTCGAACAATATCTCATAATTATGTCTTTTATCGACATAAAGTTGAATCCAACCTCGTGACGTGTTTTTCTTTCTGACTCTTCCTTTTCCTTATCGTAAATTAACTATGAATCATGTATTTAACTTATTCCCTCAAAGCAGTGCTTGTTAAATAGTTTGCACCTCTACTCATAAAAAAAAGTTACCAACGAGCCTGAGTTTGATCGCGTCTCTTATCTAATGGTTTTCCATCTGCCTGCTAAGTTGATTTGCGAGTTTCCAGTTGAAAAACACGTCAGTTCGTCGCGTTGCGATGTATGCTAAGTAAGTGGCAACAGCCAACCAGGAAGTTCGACGTTGGCTTCGCCCTGATTACGCGGCGTCGTTAGATCACGAGATCGAGCTGAAATCGTGAGGCGTTTAGATGAATGGGATTCATCAATGAAGGAGCTCGTTAGGTGCGGAGTTGCGCTTAGAAACGGGTGGAAAGTCCAACGATGTGAGACATGTATCTCTGAGATTCTTAAACATCTTTCTCAGTCGGTGCACTTGCGTATCCTACGCGGAATAAATTAATTGCTCATCAAAAAATGCGAGGTATGACTGTTTACGGATACTAGCGCGAAGATGACAGGAAAATGTGTTTTATCGGAAATATATTGAAAGCTGGAAAGTGTAGGAGGATAGAGAAACGTGTTAATGATTTTATCGTTGAATGGGAATCCTCTTGAAAATTGCAATGGGACACTGGCGTTCCCCGAAGTTCTCTAAAAATAGTTCTCGTTAATTGAGTGGCTTTTATTAAATAATCATTCGATTGAAATTGTTGGAGCAATTACACAGATGTTCATTTAAATAGTTACTATTGCAACCCTTTTATCGATAATATAATATTTTGTTGATGACATATGAAATTCTAATTTTTCTATAATTAAATTACCTGGTATTTAATAACATGGAACATATGAGAATATTGAGAATTTCAAAGTACAAAAACTGTAGTTGTATATTTTTTCGGTAAAATAAAAGGATTTTAATGTTGTAAATGCAAGAGCAATTAAAATTATTCTCGGAGTACTTGCTCGAATGATTTTAATGAAGTGGTAAAAATCGTACTCCACGGGCTGTTACGAGCATTAATAAAATATAAAGCAATTAAAGACGGACATTAGCAATTCCCTGTTACCGTTTGGAGAACGTAGTTATTGAGCTGAATAATATAAACTATGAACACATGCTTTTTCTTTGTTCTTATAATTGATGAAAATACGACAAGGAAGTGATATTTATTTCAAAGCTGGAATAACATTTTTAAAATTAGAATTATTAAAGACGTAAACATATATATCGAAATTGAGATTGTAGTATTTGATAAAAATTAAGAGTTCACAGAAAAAATACTTTTCTTTTCCTCAGTTGATACATTAATTTCTTCTCTGCGTTCTGTCTGTGTAATTGAGTAAATTGTCATTAATTTCATAATCATACAATCGTTATTACGCTTTGCCGATAATTAAACTTCTCTAGAAATGTATCGGGATGGTACAACATATTTATTTTTCTCTTTATACGTGCAACATCGCTTTGGAATAATATTAATTAAAATAATTCCCATCAGATCATGTTACAAAATTACATGCTCTGCAATGAAAGAACATACAAAGTCACAGGGAATTGCGAACGTCCGATTTTAATTTAATTTCAGTTAAGCATGCTTGGCCGTGGTGGGAAAACCTACATTTAAGAACAAAAATATTAGTCGTTACGGTAGCCAGAAAATACAAAGCAAATAATGCACATGCGTACGATTTCCCTTTGTAAATCAGCAAACTGATGTACAGAACTGCAAAGGTATTGTCTCTCATACTAGTTTTAATTCAGAAACGTATAAAGCAAATGTCCCAATTACCAACATAATTTTTGACAATTGTCTCTTTGAATCATAACAGAAAATTCTGTGTAATTACTATTTTGTATGTATAATATTATGTAAAAAGACAATGAATGATATTGGCACAAATATTATCTTTTACATGCTTTATAAAAGTAACAATTTGTTTGATATTTATGCACTTAAGCGACAAGTGATTTTGTAATGATTAATTATAGTTACTACAGTTTTGATAGATATTATAGTAACTACAGTTTTGCAAATTAAAACACCATTGTTTATAATTTTTGGAGAAACTGATTATACGACTAGCTAAGCTGATTTTAAGTTTGGAATCGTAGATGTCTGATGAACATACAAACATAGATTTGTCTTTATCAGACCCTTCAACTGATTAAATTAATTCTACCAATCTGTATACAAAATACATTAACTCAACGCCAATAAAAAAATTCTAGAATAACGAGGATAAATTTTCCCGAATAAAATGTATACAAACACAGTAATATCATACCCGGGCGTACCGCAACGAACGTTCCCAAACGCAACAAGCTCGTTAGTTTCACGGCACGTGGAACATAATTAAATAACGAGAAGTAAAATAAACCCAAGAGTGAAGTGCTATCTCATTATACGAGTGGGCGCAAGTGCAACCGTTAAAGAACTCGGGTCGAGTCGTTAGAAGCCAGTGCCCGAAAGGGAAGAAGAAACACACTCGAAGGACGGCAGCCAGTGGCCAGAAGAACGCACGGGGGAGGAAAGTTTGTCGGCCACCTGAAATTTTACATTTGCAGCGGGTAGGAAGATTGAATTGGCATCTCCTGGACCATTGCCAATTCGTACGTCGCCCAGGGTCGTCGTGTCGTCGTCTTCTTGGCGTTTCTCGAATCTTAAATTGAGGAATCCAGTCGCCTTTCGTCTACGAGATCCGTCGATGCGTTTACGATGCGGTGACTTTTCTTCCAAGTCGAAAGTATCCCATAAATCTCGCAAACTTTAATTTCAGTATGCTAAAAATGGTAACGCGAAGGTCGAAGGTCCGATAAGTGTCTAAGTCTAGATCAGTGACATCAGTTTAAGAGATTTCGATTCGATTATTTTTGGAACCTATTAACCCA